ATATATCTAATTGATTCTTTGCTGACACTCTATACAAGTTTTTATGTTACTTACTGTACCGCTCACTGACTTCGAGGACGACATGTAAGCAATTAAAAGATCTCGACATCTTTCTCGACAGCGACTGATTTTAATCTGTGACGTCACATGTTTCTACTCACCACGTATGGGGCCATCGTCCTCAACTTCGGATTTGCAGATTGTCTCGACCACCTTTTGCTTGATCTTATCCAAGCTGCCGAAGTCGTTGACGGTGAACAGATTCTCCGGTGTTCCTGTGATCTGTAGGAGCTCCAGATCGTGGACGTTTCCAATGCCGATGGCGAACACCTCGATGCCCAGAGCCCGGAGACTATCGGCGGCATCCTCAACGTCATCCTGAGATTCCCCGTCTGTGATCAGCACCAGATTCTGGGAGATCCCGGCAGATCTTCTGCTGCCACGTGACGCCTCGAAATAACCCCTGATGGAGTCCAGGGCCAGTCCGATTTTAGTGCCTCCACCCCTCTGCGTCATGCTCAAGATGTGCTTGTTCACCGCTTCCTGGCTGTAGAACTTGTTGAGGTCAAATTCGTCCTGGAACTCGCTGCTGAACTGAGCGAGCCCAACACGCACTAGTTCCTCACTCACTTTGAAGCTGTTCACTAGATCTGTGGTGAACTTCTTCATGATGGTGTAGTCCTCCTGGTTGATGCTGCCGGACTGATCGAGCAGGAAGACCAGGTCGGCCTGCTGTTTCTCACAAACTGCAAAAGCAAAGAGAGGTTTCTACATAGCTAGTGAATAATTAAGACATACTGTTCAAAAGCACACTTCAAGTTCTTATGAAAACATCATTGGTAGCTTACAACAGTTGTGCTCAACCTTTTCTAGCAGATATACTTTGGAACATTTCAGGTTTACTTGTGATAGATAGATATATAGATAGATAGATAGATAGATCGATAGGTAGATCGATAGATTATGGACGGGAGTTAAGGTACTTAGTTACTACTTTCTATAACCGCACATGCCTCTTACCTTGCTTGGTGATGTTGCAGAGGACTTGAGTAATGTTCTTGTACAGAGTCTCCAGGGCCTTAAAGTTATCCACGTAGAAAACTTTGGAGGAGTCGTGCCCGGCCATGATCTCCAGCTGTGTCGTGTTGGCTCC